CTGGCCGGACAAGTGCAGTTCTAAAAACAACGGACACCTCTCAGGAGGTGGAGATGTCAACAGATGCTGACAATCTGTCCACTCCTGGGTCCGACCAGGACAATATGGAGTGGGAAACGCCCTCCAGTAAACCTAAAAAGAATAAGAAGCCTGTTGTCCCACCCAAATGATGATCCCAATGTCTTCCACCTAGTTTGTGTTGACTTTACAGTCTTACTTATTTTACTAAGTTTATTTTTCAGTTTTATAGTTACATACCTTTTATAGATGACTAAGTTACATTTTATGCAATGGAACTGTCGCGGTATTTTAAGAAATATTGATGATGTCAACTATTTTATGGATCAACTTCGAACCATCGCTCTCGCCTTGCAAGAAACCCATCTTAACACTAATTCTTTTAACATTTTAAGACGTCATCAGGTTTTTAGAAAAGATCGCCCCTCCTCCACCCCTTCTGGTGGTGTTGCAGTGGTCGTACAGAGGGGAGTTGCTTGTTCTCAAGTCCACCTCTGCACGCTACTGGAAGCTTTTGCAGTACGTCTCCTTCTAGACCGCCTTGTAACAATTGTTTCCTTATACTTGCCACCTAATGCTCCTTTAAACCTTAAAGAGCTTCAGGGACTTATAGGACAGCTCCCACAACCGTTTTTAATTTTGGGTGATTTTAACGCTCATCATCCTATGTGGGGTAGTACCCGTCAAGACTCCCGTGGTGGTGTGATTGAACGTCTTTTATTGTCTTCGGGGTTATGCCTTCTTAATGGGAAAGAGCCAACGTTTTTTAGTGCGGCACACAACTCATTTACATCCATCGATCTTTCTATTGCTTCACCTTCATTGCTTCCTTGCTTTTCCTGGAAGGTTCTTCATAACCCTTTTGGAAGTGATCACTATCCAGTTGTTTTAGAGAGTACCGTTTCATTGCCTAATCTTTTAAAGAGGGTCCCTAGGTGGAAATTAGACAAGGCAGACTGGGCGCTTTTTAATCTTCACTCCACATTAGATCCTTCGCTTCTTTCGTCTATGTCCCCTGAGAACGCTACACTTTATGTTACTGAGCAGATACTAAAGGCTGCTCAGCAGTTCATTCCACAAACATCTGGTAATATACACAAGAAATGTAAACCTTGGTGGAATAAGGAGTGTGCGACAACCCTGGCGGACCAAAATAGGGCGTGGGGCCGATTTCGCAGATACCCCACTCCAAGCAACCTTGTTGATTTCAAGCGACGAAACGCCAAGGCTCGTTGGACTAGGAAGCAGGCAAAGCGGAAGTCATGGATGAAGTATCTCTCCTCTTTAACCAGCTTTGTCCCAGCTAAAGAGGCCTGGGACCGATACCGGAAAGTAAATGGGGATTAGAGGTGTTTTGCCATTCCAACATTGAATGCTCCTTCTTCATCACTAAAAGATATTGGTAACATACTCGGGGAACATTTTTATAATTCGTCTAGTTCGGCCAACTACAGTGTTACCTTCGGACAGTTAAAAACTCGTGCGGAACGACAAAAGCTTGTCATGTCGGGAGTAAACTCAGCATCATATAACCAACCATTTACGCAATGCGAGCTTGAGATGGCTCTTAATGTGACAAAGCTCTCGGCCCCTGGTCCCGATGGAATTCATTATGAAATGCTGCGCCGCCTTTCTCCGGAGTCCCTTGAAAATCTTCTCCTGTTTTTTAATCTTTTGTGGGAAAAGGCATGTTTCCCTCAGACTTGGAAACATGCACACATCATCCCCCTCCTAAAGCCTAACAAAGACCCCTCACAACCATCAAGCTACCGCCCAATTACACTGACAAGCTGCCTTGGGAAAACATATGAAAGGCTTATAAACAGGAGACTGGTCTACGTTAGAAAGCCAGAGGGTCTTTGATAAAAATCAATGTGGATTCCGCCAAGGTCGATCTACCCTTGACCACTTAGTTCGCCTAGAAACTGTGATACATGAGCATTTGTAAACAGGCAGCACTGTGTTGCAGTTTTTTTCGACTTAGAAAGGGCATATGACACAGCATGGAGGTATGGGATTCTCCGAAACCTGTATGCCTGTAATAGTCGTGGCCATATGCTGCGAAGCATAAAGGAATATCTGACAGACAGGACTTTCCAAGTTCGTCTCGGCAGCCCTATCTGATTCCTTTGTTCAAGAAAATGGAGTCCCCCAAGGGGGTGTTTTAAGTGTGACGTTGTTTTTGCTAACAATGAATTCACTCGCACAACTGCTGCCACCCTCAATTTCATATTCTCTTTATGCTGATGATATACAGATTTCATCATCGTCTTGTAACCTTTCTAGTTGTGAGCGTCAGTTGCAGTTAGCCATAAACAAACTGTCCAAGTGGGCTGACGAAAATGGGTTCAAGTTCTCTGCTTCAAAAACAGTCTGTCCCTTTTTCTCTGCGACGCGGGCTGTCTTTGGATCCATCCCTAGAATTGAATGGAACTCCTGTACCTGTTAGGAAGGAGCACAAATTTCTTGGTGTAATATTTGATAGAAAGCTTAATTTTATTTCCCACCTTAAAGCGCCCAAGCAAAAATGCCTTCAGTCAACAAACCTTCTGAAAGCTTTATCTCACAAGTCTTAGGGGTCTGATAGAAAATGTATCCTACAGCTGTACAATGCCCTTGTACGATCCCGTCTTGACTATGGTGCAGTAGTGTATGGATCGGCTCGGCCCTCTGCCCTGAAGATGTTGGACTCGGTTCATCATCTCGGCTTGCGACTGGCAACAGGAGCTTTCCGGACATCCCCCGTCCTTAGTTTGTATGCAGAATCCAATGAGCTGTCCCTGAACAAACGACGTACATATCTTAGTCTAACATATGCTTACAAGATTCTGGCCGATCCTCAGCATCCGGCTTAGCCCCCACTCACAAGGTGAAGGTTCTTTCGCCTTTTTGAAAATAAATCAAGCATTGTAACACCGCTGAGCTTCCGCATTGAACATCTTCGCTCCTCGCTGCATCTTTCTCTGGACCAGGTCAGCCTCGTTCGGAAAGTGAACGGTATTCCACCTTGGAAAACACAGCGAGTTGAATCCGACTGGTCTCTCGCAAAGTTCAACAAGCACGGAATTTCCCATGCTGTAATTAAGCAAGAGTTTGGAGAACTGCAAAATAAGTATTATGGTTATCTTCATGCTTATACAGATGGTGCCAAGACTTCATCTTTCGTCGGTTCCGCCGTATACTCTGAAAGCTTCTCCAAGGTTCAACGACTTGATTGTATCGCCAGCATTTTTACTGCGGAGCTCTATGCGGTATCAATGGCGATTGAATATATTATCAATAGTAAAATACTGAGGGCAGTCCTGTTTGTTGACTCTCAAAGTGCGATTCTTGCAGTTTGCTCTCTTAAAGATACTAAAAATATGCTTGTACAACAAATTCGATATAAACTTAACTCTGCTTTGCATGGGGGTCAAAATATAAAACTTTGTTGGGTGCCCAGTTACACTGGCATTCATGGCAATGAAGAAGCCGACAAACTTGCAGGGTCTGCCGGGAACCTCCCACAATCGCTCTCCTGTCTACCCTATCAAGATATTAAACCCTTGGTGAAGTCCTCAATTCTTCATTCTTGGCAATTGGAATGGGACATGGAGTGCGATAACAAGCTTCATGTTACCAAACCTGCGTTGGGAGTCTGGGAAAGTTCTTCGTGCAAGAGCCGACTTCATGAAACGTTGTTGTGCCGCCTGAGAATTGGACACTCATTTATTACTCATAGGTATCTGCTTTCGGGAGAAGATCCACCTGTGTGTGATCAGTGTGGTGACAGGCTCACTGTTTTGCATATCTTGTGGCAGTGTCCCGGCCTTCAGCCCAAGCGCCGCATTCATTTCCCTGAATTTTTCCAATATCATATCCCATTTCATCTTGCTCTCCTTGTGGGAGAGAATCCTCTAGTCTCTTTTGAACGAGTAATGGAATTTCGTAGCAGTATTGGCCTTTTACACCGACTCTAGCCTTTTAGTCAATCTTTTGTAAAACTTTTCCTTTAATACAATGATCCTTACAATTAGTTTGGCGCAAATGGCCTCGTAGCTTTTGCGCCATTAACCCCCAAAATCTTCTTATGGGGTGTTGCTTGGAGCTATCGTTCATATTTTTTCACCCCTACCAAATTCTGCTAGCCTAGGCAGCTGCCTACTTTGCATATTGGTTAATCTGTCCCTGACCACAGTCACTTGTTTTACTCTACCACCAGGTCGCCTGCACACTGTCTTTTTGTTAGTTCAAGCGCGGCTCTATGGCTCGCAGTGCGTGCAAATGTTCATGTGCAAATTGTGCATACAACTAATTTGCAAGCACACATACTTTCCGCTGTGAACAGGAGTAGGAGAGCTTCCAGGATGTCCTCTTCACAATTTTGCAAAGGGCCGGGTAAGCAAGTTCAGTTATAAAGACAGTGGTATGTTTGATTTCCACTGGATTATCCAGCGCATGGTTAGTACTGGGATAATCGAATACATATAAAGCACCCTCACTTTTTGTAATGTGCTGTAGAGCAGGGGGGCTAGACTAGTATTTATCTTTGAGTTTTCGGTGGCTCTTCAGGTATAACTGCGTGTATTCACAGATTTCATTTTGGCTGGATAGTTTCAGAGGTTTGGTGGTCTATCTACCCTACCTGCACGTGAACTGCTATCTTAAGGTGCCACTAGAATATGGATAGTACTACCTACTACAATTAACTTGACCTGATGGCGTTACAGATTCACCACTTCACCAAAGTACGCTGCACACACACAGGCTTTCAGGAAACATTTCAGCTGTCTAAATAAAGCTGTGAAAATTGGTCATAACATACTGTGTTGTACCCTGCATACATTTCCAAAATAACATCCAATAACAAATACCTTGATGTCGACCGCTCCTATTTTTTGACACAATGGTTGTCAAGTCTTTTGGTAATGCAATCGCTGAAAATGTGTACTCATAAGACATGGGCACCTCCATGTGGTTGGGTGCATGCACATCTTCACAAGTTTCAATGTTGCGGAGAACATCAACTATTGATAAACCAATTTCACGTCAAGGTTTGGTGCAGTGCTGCGCTTCTCATAAAAAATATGAAATAAATGACATGTTTTTTGTTGAAGCAATATTTTTAATGATTGGTTTCATAGCAAAAGGTTGTTAAGAACAGTGTGGCTGTAGTCTTATCCTTTGCAGAAACACATTTACAAACATTTCAAAGAAGAGAGCAATGCAAATATATATCCTAAATGTGCATCATTCAAACCGATTATAATTGTACCATACAAATGATAACTGTACAGCTCATCCTAAAAAAAAATTCACATCTTGCAATTCCGTACATGTTGGGAATTGGAACTGCTCAATTATACATTATATAAAACATGCACACTTTTGCCACCCTAATTTTTAAAAAGATGTTCCTGCAGCTCAGATATTTGCAATACAAGCAATTCTATACTAAGAAGACAATAAGGAAAATTAACATGGCAAGCACTTTCAAAAACTAGAAAAATGTTTCCAAAACACTCTGAATCTCTTTTTCTGCATGTTTGCAGAAACAAACTTGGCATTATTAAAAAAAACACAAACAAAAAAACATAGGTTTACAGGATATTTGTTATAACTAGTTCAGTCTTTCAAAAAGCCAGAACAAAAAGTGTCGAGGATTTGAGTAAAAACTTGTCAGGACAAAAGCCCCCCGGCACGGCATTAGTGTCCCTGACCGTGGGATTTTGCACTTGTCACGTTGCGCTTGATGCTGGCACTTAGAGAATGGGCCTGTTTCCTTGCCCTCTTTGGACCAGGCTGGCTTGGTGGTCGACCGGAAGGCACTCTCTTGGAGCCTCTACTAACTCCCTTGCGACGCCTTGCAATGTTTGTCGGCTGCACGCGAATGTGCCCTCCCCTTCTAGTTGGACCAGTTATCGCTGCACTTAGGGCAAGTAGGCCGGCCACCGCCTGACTCTCGTTGTGGATCTTCCGCAATCCGATTACAACCTTTCGGAAACACCTTGCATATGTTGGGTTGCCACCAGCAACGGTCGACAGTCGCTGACACTCTTCTTCCATGGCCTGGAGGTCTTCCTGTATGTTACAACACAGCATATGGTAATCAGCTTACATCCCCATGTGAACAGAAAGGGTGTACCTCACACATGGGTATTTTGAACATAATCATTGACATGCAGTGTATTATAAGCTGAAATTTAAAAATTCTAAGAACACCTAAGCACTTCTTATGAGTTATGAACGTGAAAGCATGAATGTCGTTCTTCTGCTCCCTTAGTTCGTCTGCGACATAGTGGCGTGGATGGCCACGTTTCACCGGCCGACAGCCGAGGGCGCACTCTCGTGAAGTGGCCGCGCTGTGCCAAGCTGGGTTGTGCAACTTCTCTGAAGTTTGCCACCGCTCCCTCTTAGCGGCGGCTGGGCCGCTGCATGCGCTGCGCCACCATGGAGAGGGCTTCTCTGGTGGCGCTTTTTGTAACTACGCTGCGCAAGAGCCAATGTGAGCCTCGTTCCTTGATGACGTGTGCCAGCCAATAGGAGCCTATCCATCAGATTTTTGCTACAGACGACATTAAGGCAGGGGAGGGTGCCGTTTGGCGCGACTTCAAAGCTGAAGACATTGGTTGGTCCCATGGGACAGTTAATGCTTCCGCATTAATAATAATCCAGACAAAGGAGGAAGTGCATAAGAAAAATAAGTTAGTGAAAATATATTTTAAAATACCCAGCAATGTGCCAAAATAATTTCTCCTACATTTCTTTGCAGGCATGCTCTATTTATGTTTAGTTTACCCACTCACTGGCTAATCCTAAAATTTCAGAGCAAGAAATAAACATGATCTTGCACTCATTCTTTGTCGAGGAAGACAACGAACTTGGCGTTCTGTATCACAAACATAAAAGGACACACAAAGCTGCCAAAAAGAAATTGAGCTAAAAAGTAATTTACAAGCTACTCAAAAGACTAAGTGCAAACACAAAGTACTAGACAAATTGGAAGGGCAAAAGTGAGATAGTATTGTGGGGTCATGGCATAAAATCTCCATTTTATACTTGACTAAATAATGTGAAGGTTCACCTTCTGCTGAACCTCAAAACTTTGGCACGCCATTCTGAGTTTACCAGAAGCTCTTTTTTCACATTCTTCTTCCAGCTTTGCTCCTCTTGGTGTTTCGTTTGGACTAAATAATAATATGGAGAACCTAGTGGATAATATTCACAAGCAAGAAACTAAGGTGGGCACATTATCCAAAAAAAAAATGCTACTATTGTTTCCAGCAGTACCTTCCTCAAGGACTGTGGTTCTCAACCACTTATGTTTGGGGACCCCTTTAGGATCGGCAGAAGTGATGCGGGGCCCCATCTGCCCGGTTAGGTGGGGGGGGGGGGGTATTGGATGATTACAGTGACAAATAGGTGAACGAAGAAAACTAAATGCGTGTAAACCAACTTTCAAGCTTCAAAACGAAGGGTAATCAACCCTACCGACTTGCCACACATGGTTTGGTCTATTTGACTTCCTGAAACAGCCAGCATCAATAAAAACACAGTTTTATTGCTCGGCTTAATTAATGGTAGTGGCTACATTTTTTTCTATCCCTTGTGCACCACAGAATGCTGTAAGATGACTGCACATTTAATAGGGTGTAAATATCTACTTGCATGCAACTACATTGGCACAAAATGTAGAGGAGTGCCCCCTCAAAATTCTCGACTGCTCCAAATTATATATTAATGTGACCCTACCATAATAAATTTTCAAAGGTCCCTTAGAGAAAAGACGAAGTATTAAAAGTTCAGCTGTAGCTGTAAAAGCGAAAAGGAAAGTGTGCCGCTGGCATTTCATGAAAGTCATAAAAAATGATGTCCTTTCCCCCTCTTTCTCTTTTGCATGCTAACATAGAAATTTCTGGCGCCTGCTCAGCCCATGTAGAATTGAATTGCCAATGTTCCGTAAACAACTTACTTTTCGCATAAAAGTAATTACTGTAAACATCTCATTTTTACGAATTTCGTGACTTCAAAAATATAGTGAAAAAAAGATCCCGTAGATATGTTTCTCTATGGTAACAAATACATAACATACCAACCTGATTTGGGAAATGTCATGCCAGCAAAATATTCTCGAATATTCTCGGAAACCACATTTTGTCAAATTCGAGAAATATGGAGCTCTCAAACATAATGTTGTTTACAGTATACATCAATATGAATAATGCGCACCTGTGTGAGGGCTTCCTTGTTATCCAGATTGGATTGGAAGCTTGATGTCGATGGCTCAGCATCCAGGCTTTCTTGAAGACTGGTTGCATAACCTGAGTTGTCACTCGTGTCCGGCGTGACGGCTTCGTGGATATCTGCGTAGAAGCTTATTGGAGGTGCATTTTCCCCCAGAGCCAGCCTTCCAAGGTCACGACGGTCCCGGGGCGTCAGTACTGGGGCATTGGGCAACACCCCTCCGACAGTCCTGTGCACCACGCCTTGGTGTCTACAAAATGCCCCTTGGCCACCAGCCCGGCACGTGCACAGCCCAACGTCAGGAAACACTTCGTATGCTTTTGCATTGTCTGTTGAACTTGTCACAGTGTAGATGCCATCCCCATCAGTCAGCATTGTTGTTTCCTCGGGCATCTTTTTAAGTAGTTTCTCGTAGAAAAGATTGTGCCCGGCAACCCCGTTGTTTGCATGCTTTAAAAGTCTTCCTTGGAAGTAGGACTCCCACACATGGGCCACGAAGTCCACGAGAGCTGCGGCATTAAACGCACGAGTGCGGCAGAGCACAATGTCTTTTAGTATGCGGATGCATGCCTCAGCAAAGTTATTAGTGTTGTGGTTTCGTGTTGTTATTGACTTGCGAAACAGCAGGACCCATTCTTTCTCTTTTTGAAGGAAGTCTTGAACCCTTGCAATGTACCTTTCATGTGGTACACATTCAAGTTTTTGCTTTGCCTCAGCCAGCTTCTCGGCAGTGTCTGCGTAGAGGATCTAAAATATAACATTAGGGTAGCAGATAAAAACAGGGATGATAACTGCAAACTGTAAACAACGTGATCTGTTCGAGAAACTCGTTTTTGCAAAATGCACAACTTGAAAAGTATAGCAAATACTTAGTTATGCAAATATATCACCCCAAGGTAAACCATGGGGTATTTTCACCGTCTTATCTGGTCTCTGAAGAGGAAAAATAAAAGAATATGGAGATGAATGAACTGTTCCGATTGAATGGAATAATCGTTATTAAGCTAACAAAATACAAAACTTTTGGCTAAAGATTTTTTCTTTTAGCGGCTTCATAACTTCAATCGGTATGAATCGTTGATCTACATGTTTTTGATTATCACCCCATGGTATAGATTCCATGGAATATCACTCCCAATCGCAAAACGTTGTGCTTGCAAATATTCCAAAAGTCACACCTTTCACAACTTGTAAAATATTCGGTCCACATAGTCTGGTTATAACAAAAGCCATATGGGAAGCAAAATACTTTTCCATATAGAAAATGTGAGCACAGTTTATATACATGCCTTGTTTTATGTTTTTAAGCAAGACCTGGCATCTCCTGGTAATTACATTGGAAGCCGTTCTGAGGCACTCAAGTGAATTTGACTTCCCTCCATGTCTTCACGAAACAGCTGTAGCTAGGTAGGAATATCTAATGAAGCTAAAAGTTTTATTGTCTACTTTTTATTTTTTATATAAGGGAGAAATATACTGCAGTATTTAGCCACTTTTGCATGAAAAATATTCGGAATGATTTCAGTTATCAAGCGACACAAGCTTTTGTCCTTCGAAATTAAAAGAAATGCTAAATAAAACAGATTCCTCCTCCTTTCCGGAATAAAATGGACAGCTTTCTCCTACTCAATTAAACAAAATATACTTTAAAAAAAAGAATTTAAGTACTGCTTGTATTCCTACTCAAATAAAGTGAGGGGACACCCCCTGAATCCCTGTAAGAGCCATATTCAATCTGTCGATTATTTTCCTGGTGTTCACAGGTCCGTGCGGTGTCTGACCGGCCTTTTGTAGACAAGGCGGGGGGACTAGTTATAAAAAACCAACTGCTTCCTAAGAGGACAAACTGCCTTGTTAATGAATGTATCATACTATTCTTAAGAAATGGTATACCGTAAAATACCGGGCAAGCGCCCACTCAAAATTTTGAAATAATCGCGAGAGAATGGGGGGTGGCCACATGTCCGGTCATTAATTTTACATATAGATGTACTGTGCATATTTCCTCAGATCCTATAAATTTGGGAATGGGTGCGTAATGTGGACTGGGACGGATGCGCGGTATTCTACGTTAAGAATGAAAAATTTCAAGTGAAGTATGGTTGCTTGTAAACAAGATATACATGAAAATCTGATGCATTTAGGGATTTAACTCTTGACCTCAAGATTGAACTGTGTCAGCACTGTGTGGCCCAAACTGTAAACATTAACTGGTCTGGATACCGCGTCGTCTCCTATAGACACTCCTTAAGAAGTGTACATGTCAATGACGAAAGCTTGTTTTTGGCTAAGGTGCACTAGTATCTTAAATAACTAACCTCATCGTGTGAAATAACATAACTTATTTGCAAAGATTTCTGCTAATTTATGAGCATGGAAATGCAACAAAGCAAATATCAAGTCTGATACTTTCAATAATATTGGTAATTTGTTTTGTAAAATTGCTAGCTTCCTTGGTAAAATGAATCTACATTAGGGTTTTCTGGTGACAAAAAAACAATTAATCATCATGGTTTACTTCAGTAATTAAATAATTAAGAGTTGATTGGTTTACAAGCATATTATATAATAAAGATAGAAACTATCCATTTTGCTTTAACTATGTTTACTATGTAATAAATCATACGGTTTATGCTCAGTGAAGTTCGGTGACAAGACTCGGACTCGAGCAGGAATGCCGTTATCCTTGGTGTGACCCCATGAGACTGTCTTGCTGCCTTTGCTGGGGTTTATCTAACTGAAGTGCCTGTACGAAAAGTAGAAGAAACACATGTCCATAACACTTATTACTCACAAGAAAATTTGTCAACGTCCAAAATAACCAATGGAGAAAATTATGCGAGGAATTTCTCGGCCGCGTTGGCCAAGTTATCTCTCGTGGCCAATGTTTCATTGCAACTCTAATTGCAGTAAACAATTATAGGGTATATTACAAAGAAAGTGCAATTTCGTTTTGTATGAAACTACACCACACAAAACGGCACTCGAATACAGTATGTTGAGGTACCTCTGAACAAATTCCAGGGTTTCATGGCGCCTCCTTAAGCTACCTGATGTTGAACATGAAATATGTGCACCAAGGAGTGAGCAAACAGTGACTTCCAATTTGTCTCAAACACCAGAGACATGTCGACAAGGTGTGCAACGTGTAGAAGGTCGTCTAGAAGTGTGCCAAGATGAAAAAGCAAGATGTAACGAAATCAGAATAAGATCACACCAAAGAGACACTGTTGTAATGAGACTATCTACGATCTAGAGATAGTAATGGGGAGTCAACCAACGTACAGCCGCGATTTACTTTGCGTTAAATGAGGTGGAAAACAACAAAAAAAAACGCGTTTTTTTGTTTTTGTTTTTTACATTATTTGTTGAGCGCAGCCGGTAGCAGAGCAGTTGGGCGGCGTCACGAAAATCCGACTGACTCGCTAGCGCTTCTCAACTTCGTTCGGCGCCATTCGGCGCCACAGATCAGTGGTCGGCACTCATAGTCTACCAGGGAAGAAAAAAGTACGAGCTCAGAGCCGAGCGTCGATCGCGACTTTCGTACCAGGGAAGAAAAAAAGTACGAGCTCAGAGTCGAGCGTCGATCGCGACTTTCGTAAAGAGAAGCTCCGGTAACACTTCGGCGACTCGTCAGCTTCAAACAATGCCTGTTCGAACGAGCCCAACGAGCCTTTGCGCCGGCAAGCACGCTGGGAGCCGGGGGGCTGGAGGTTGAATATCCGAAAGAGAGAAGACGCTGGTTTCTACGTCTATTTGGCACATGAGATAACAAGATAGCGAAGCTAGCCGAGCGTGAACACTGACTGACGTTACATCGGAATACACGCAGTCGAAAGAACGCCTGCAACAGAGCACAGCCAGAGGCTTTCAACAGGGGACACGTGCGTTCAAATAAGCTGCGATTTCAAAATATCATGTCTGTTTTCTCTCCTTCTGTGTTCACTTTGATCTGTGTATACCAAAGCACTCAATGCTGCAAGCAATAAAGTCGTGTGTACGTACCTTTTGAAGCGATTGAAAGTGCGTTGGTTTGACTTGGAGCCCACAAGCAAAGTGCGCGACGTACTTGACGAACTGTCATCCGTCGGTCTCGCCGTCCCGCCGGGTCAGTCGCTGCGCAGGCGGCGTCAACGGCTCGGCCGGGCTTGGCTGGGCCGCTGGGGCCGCTGGGCTCGGACGGCGGCTCGCTGGCTCGATGGGCTACAGCGCAGGCAGCGCATGCGCGCAGGCTCGCCGGCCCACTGGGCTCGCGGCGAAGCGAACTGCCTCCGAACGTTCCAAAGCGAACTGTTTCCGAAGCTCGAGCTTTTGCACGCGCGGGTTGACAATGGAAACTTACCTTCTCAAAAAACGAGTCTGTAACGTATCGTTTGATGGCGCAAATGCACGTAGTTTTCACGTCGTTTTTTACAGTTTGGGCATCTCGCGAAACAGGCGATGAAGAGTGGTGGGTGAAATGTGCTCGCATGCGGTCGTGGATTTTGTGTATGACTTAGGATTACCCAGAAAGGTGGGTCAATATCGATAAATATGCGGGTAAGAAGCAACTACATGCACGTGACCTTTCAAGCCTATTAACCCTCATTATGTTATCGTGCGAATGGACATCGTCACGTATCGTGTTCGATTTGGGTTTCAACACAGGGAACCTAACTTTTGTTGCATTACAACAACTGCAATAAACATTTGTTTGAAAGCGATCACTCCAATAAGCACGTCGTTATTGGGCTTTCTCATTAAAAGGTAGGTCGCGGGTGTTCCAGCTAGATATTCTGAATGGTTTGGTGGTTGTCTAGCATTTCAAGCGCGCGAGGCTGTCTGTTCTGTGTGCCGTACCAGCAGCCGTACGTAGTACTTGCGCTTTCGATCCATGTGAATGTGTTTGCAACGCGGAACTTTCGTGTTTCTGTGTGCATCCACCTCCAATATCGTTCTCTCTCGTATTGCCGTATGGTAACTCCTGCTGTTTTACGGTATCATTCACGCGATGTCGAATATGTGGGCATACAGATATCCGCATGTTCCCTCACGGACGATCAGTATTGTGTTACGTTTCCTCTTAGTCCGCGGTAGATGCCGACGTAATTCATGTTGGTAACTTGGAATTCGTTCTGAGATTTATGCACGCGATATCATATTGCATTCTCCCTTGGGCCCGTGATCGACGACCGATATTTATATATCGTGTGGCCAGTGTGGCCGCACAGTATGCCCATGTCGCTCACCAATATGCACGCGATGTCATATTCTATTCCAATAACCGTAAGTTCTGTCGGGATATTGTGCTCCGATATCCTGTTGTATACCAATAACCGCAAGTTATATCGGGATATTGTGCTCCAATATCCTGTTGTATACCAATAACCCCATACTATATCGGGATATTGTGC